ACTTGCCCAGGATCACACAGCTAGTAAATGTTATATGTCTGAGGTGGGATTTGAGCTCAGGTCATCCTGACTCCTGGGTTGGTGTTCCTCTACATTTTTTCTTCACTTCCTTCACTATGGACCCACAGAATCTCTAAATGCTCCCTATTTTTCAATGACTTTGGAATCTAGAGTTCTTCAATATAGAGACTGGTTATCTGAGAAGTGGACAAGGGTGAGTTATTTGTAAGTTAGGGATTTGTGACTCACTGGTTTCTCTGATCTTCATTTCAATAATGCAATACTTCAGGACATAGGTAACATCATTAAAATAGATGCTTCCCTTCACCCACAATCATGTGGATCTACCAGATCATAACACATTCATTTCTTTTCATTCTACACAATCTTTGTCCACCTCCTCTCATTAACCTTGAATGGAAGAATTACTCAGTGCACTGGTGATTTTCCTCTATGACTTTTCAACATTTCATATGAACCCATGTAGAACTCAAGCTGAGTAGCTGTTATCTCTTTCTCCTTCTACATAACTGATACATATCCTTTTCTGATCACACATTTCTTCAGTGATCTCCTTTATCATTCTTCTTATTCAAAAGTCATCATCTATTGGCATTATGGGTTTTTGCGTCAGAGAGACCCTTGAGATCACTGAGAGTGCTATACAGTTTCCCCAAGTTCAGGCCACCCTTCCTTCTCTTCAATTCGGGACCCACCTATTTAAGACATAGGTGCTGCTGTATTAACCCAACAATCTTCCCACATGACTACAGATCATAATCTGGCATTTTTTTCATCTAATTGATTTTTCGTATGAGGCTTTTTAAGTGAATCTCTTCTGAATGGTAACAGATTTCATTCAGGAAACTTCCCATATACTATGTTCCTATGTACTATATAGCTATAGTATTTCAGGGTTTGATGAAATAAGCACAATGTCATCTGTAGAAATGCCTATCTGGAGAACCTCACCACCTACCTGGAAAAGTGTTTTCATTTGGATTCCATAGAGGATATCTTCCATGATCCTAGAAAACCTCTCTAGTGAACATACCTCTTCCCTTTTCTATTCTTAGATTGATATTGTCAATCTGTGGTTGCATCTATGAAGGAATTTTTGTGATCTTAACAAATCCTTAGGAGATCCCTACTGGGGCAAGAAGCTTTCAGGGTAGATTTTGTTCTACCAAGTCAAATGCCCCAAGCAAAGTGGAATTTCTTATTCTTTCCATCATTTGAGTGACTGTGAAGATGGGATCTGCTTTATGGGAAATCATGTGCAAAAGGTTTTCTTTTCCCTTCATATTGTGTGCATGCATATTCTTTTGTTAATGTTTTAATTGATAGACTTTATTTTTATAGATTTTACCCCTTCACACACACACACATACACACACACATATTATATTACTATAATATATTATTATATATAATACATATTTATATATAATATATACTACATAATTATATACTATAATATATTATATATATTAATATTACATATATATTAGGCAACTGGGGTTAAGTGACTTGCCCAGGGTCACATAGCTAGTAAGTGTCAAGTGTTTGGTCTGAGGCCGGATTTGAACTCAGGTCCTCCTGACTTTAGGGCCAGTGCTCTATCCACTGCACCACCTAGCTGCCCCCCCTTCACATGTTTTCATAAAGTATGCCCATGATGTGTGCCTAAACCATTTCATTAAAATCTTATATTCATGAGAAAGTAGCCATAGGGAATGGTAGCTGCTTTTTTTTTTTCCAGTTACATCATCTATGAGCATTTCTTTCCTTTAGAATCTTCTACTCTTTGATATATCTTGAAAATAAATCCCCAAATGCTTTTTAAATTATTGTTACCACCTGCACAGATTTTTTTCTGTGTGTGTGTGTGGTCAGGTACAGCAGCTCTTTCTGATCTGCATTTATCATCCTCCTCACCTACATTGTGTCTCTTTATCATTTAAATTAAATGCCAAAAGAATAGTTATTGTCATCATGCCCCTCTTCCTTCTAAAGAACAAAACTGCTACTAAGGTTAGTCAAAATGTTATAGACATCTCTGTTTTTTGTAAAGAAATAGTTTGAACAGATGTTGAAGTGGTTGAAATTCTCCATTATAACGACAGCATGCCTCTATGTTCTGCACATGGGATCTACTGCCACACAGATCTTGTGTGATCTGCTTCCAGAATTAATCAACCATTGTCTCCTCCCAGCTGGGCAGTCTAGTATACTCCCACCATAATATTGCTTCTGTTTCTCCTTCCATTAATCTTCAACCAAATGCTTTCCATTATGCTTTCTCCATCTGGTTTACAGATTTCCCTGCAGTAATATGCTCTATTGATATATACTTCTTTTTTGAATCAAGCATACCCTTTGAACCAAACACCAAATAACTGCAATGGCCAATCTTGGTCCCAGACAACGAATTATGAAATATGCCTTTCTCCTCTTAGCAGAGAGGTGGGGGGACAGGAACAGAATGTGGCATACGTTGTCAAACACAGTCAATGTGCTGATTGTTTATGCTTAACTGTTTTTCTTTGTGATAAAGCGACAAAGAACTCTTCCCAAGGTTCAATTACTGGGAAAGTAGAACTATAGACAGAAATGACAGTGATATAAAAATAAAAGACTTCAAAAAGACTCATTTTTAAAATAAAGGGGAAAAAAGTAATGTTTAACTTTTCATTACTACAATTTCTGTCAGTCTTATCCTTCCTTCTGTTAAGTTCTCCAGTTTGGACTGTTTCTCAATCACACTGTCTATATAGTATATTAATATACTACTAATTAATATATTAATATATTACTTCCTCTTTTTCCAGGTATGGATAAATTACTGGGACAATTAACTGATATTATTCCTCCTTTGTCATACCTACTACTCTCTGTGGTATCTGTTTACTTCCTATTAATGCCTTTTTTTTTTGACGCAATTGGGGTTAAGTGACTTGCGCAGGGCCACACAACTAGTAACTGGCTAAGGCCAGATTTGAACTCAGGTCCTCTAGACTTCAGGGCTGGCACCACCTAGCTGCCCTCTGTAATGCCTTTCTTATATGAAGTCCCTATCTTAGATTAACAACAATAATTAAAATAACTCTTTTGTCCTACTTTCTTTCCCAGGGTGCCATAATCTCTAGAGATGACATCTAGGTTTCTTCTGGCAATATCACTTGTTTCTGCATTTATCAACAGAAAGTTATTGTTATTATGAATAAATAGACTCATATTCCAAATACTTGTCCCATGATAACACTATAGGACAGAAATGAGGATTCTAGGTATTATTTTTTTTAATATTTTTTGCCTTTCTTCTATCCCTCTCCACTCCCTCTCCTCTCATCCCCAGCCACTCCCCCAATTTTGCAGCAGGACACTATAGACAGGCCTGTTCTCTATACTTCATCCTCTACTCCATTCCAGTGCTTCTACTGTCAACTTTTTTCCTGATCATGCAGTTCTGGATGTATTAGATTTGTTTCATCTCGTATATTTACAGAGAATGGTAATATGTCAGAATTAGGACAGGACTTAGAGAACATTTAGTCAATTTTTTTTTTTTTTAGGGAATAATAATTTTTTTTCCATTCCTGTCTTCTCACAATTTCTCCCAAATTCTCTCAAATTATCAGTGTTAATAACTTCTAAATGATCATTAAACTCATTCTCTTTACAGGTAAATTGAAACTCAAACTCTTTACAAATAATTAAAGCTCTGCAATAATTTAATTTAACCTCTTTACAAATAGCATAACTCAAAATCAATTAATTAATTAATTAATTAAAAAAATAGCATAGCTCTTTATCACCAGATAATTTGTCATGGATCAAAGATGATACTCACACTGTCTCCACTGACTCCTTTTGGTTGCTGTTGTCCTGTAGTTTTCAATTGTATCTGACTCTTCATGATCCTATTTGGGGTTTTCTTGGTAAAGATACTGGAGTGGTTTGCCATTTCCTTTTCCAGCTTGTTTTACAGATGATGAAATTGAGGCAAATAGAGTTAAGTGACCTGTCCAGGGTCACACAGCTAGTAAGTGTCTGAAGTCAGATTTCTGTCCCTCTATCCACTGCACTACCTAGTTGCCCACACTGACTCCTTAGGGAATGGTAGTTAAATTATTACTGTTCAATAGTCCAAAGCCAAATAAAGAAATAGTAACAGCTATCTACAGGATAAACAGGAAATACTCAGCAGGAAAGCATTAGAATTAAGAGGAGTTGGTAAAGGCTTTCTGTAGAAGACTGGATTTTGTCTGGGACTTGAAGGAAGCCAAGGAAGCCAAGAAGTGGAGATAAGGAAGGACAACATTCTAGGCATGGTGGACAGCCAGAGAAAATGCTCAGAGCAAAGAGATGAGTGTTGTGTTCATGTAACCACAAGGAAGCAAGTGTTACTGGATCAAAAAGTGGGAATACTACATTCCATTGACTCCTCTCTTGTTTGTTATTCCTATAACCACAGTATTCTATTTAACCAATCCAATTCATGACATGGGTTCTCCATCTGAATATAGTTTCTGCTTGTTTGACTTAATCTAATGTTTTCATAGGGCAAATCTTTTGCAGCAATACCTTTCAGGAAATAATTATTTTTCAAATATGAAATAAATCAGATCCAAGAAAGGTGGAAACAAAACTTATTACCCAATAATCAGCCTTATTATCTCCATTCTAGAAGAGTAAATTATATAAAATAGTCATTTTGTTAGGGTGCCTTCGTGTGTGCATGTATATATGCATGTGTGTATGTATATATGTATATGTATATATATAAATGTATCTATATTTTTCACTCGTAGTGAATACTATTAAGACATTTATACACAATATATGTAAAACATATATATAGTATGTATATATATGTACACATGTGTATACAGTCACACATACTTATAAATGTTTTCATAGCATTCACTGTGAGGAAAAGAATGGATTGAAGGGAGAGTGATTGAAAAGTTTAATGAGTGATTAACAGTCTTTTTCTTTTTAAGTATGTTTTATTGGTACCTTTTGTAATGACATCAGTTACTTCAACTCTTCCTCCCAGCTGCTGATTTATCCAGTCCTAGTCATTTCCCATCTCTCTACTATAGGGAAGAAGGCATAATATGTCATTTACAGTAAGACATGTTATGGCTACTCATTATAAAACTCCAAATAAGCCTCAAGTGTAGAGTTAGCCTATTTGACTAAAATGTGAAGTAATACATGAGAAAATTATTTCCAACAGAGGTTCTTGTTCATCCAAAGGTACCAGTCTTATTCTTTCCCCAAGTGTGTTGTGATCCATTAGAATGACAAGACTCAGAGGCCCGTGCTGATCTGGAACACTGAGAATTGGGTGATGCCCTGAGCATCAGGTTCCAGGAGATGGATCTTTGAAGATTCTTCATGGAAGATGTTATGGCCATGGTCATTACCCAAGGGTGATTCAGAGCCTGCCCAGCTGTCATGCGATGATTAGAATCCAATGTCAGTAGTCTATCTATAAAGTCCTTTGCCAAGTTGGAAACATTTGGCCAAGGCTGAAATGGAAAAAGAAAAAGAAAATTGGAATTTGAATATTAGGAACATTTAGAATATTGGACTTGGAGTTAGAAAAGCCTGGTTTTAAAACCCACCTCTTATACTTAAAATAGCTATTTGACTGCGGGCAAGTCCCTTATGACTTACAAAATTGGAATAGTGATACCATGGAGTACCTCTACCTCACAGAGCTCCTTTGAGTCTCAGAAGAGATAATCTATGTTTAAAAAGTGCTAATAAACATATCCTTATATCAAAGTCAGGTATCATTATTATTAAGATCAGAGAATATCCAATTCAAAAGCTTTTTTTTTTTGCCATAAGAATACATGACTATTAACATGGAATGAACCCAAGGCCCCCCTCCACTTTTAAGAGAGCCAAGCAGTACATCCTATTTACTAACTCTCCATTTAACAAGAGAGAATTCATAGGTTTATAGATCTAAAGCTGGAAGGAATTTTAGAAGTCATATAGTCCAACTTCCTCATTTTACAGGTGAGGAAACTGAGGCCCAAAGAGGGTAAGTGGTGTGATTCTAAAGTCAGTGTTCTTTCCATAATACTACACTGTCTCAGGGCAGGTAGGTGGTGCAGTGGATAGAGCACTGGCCCTGAAGTCAGGAGGACCTGAGTTCAAATCCGGCCTCAGACCAAACACTTGACACGTACTAGCTGTGTGACCCTGGGCAAGTCACTTAACCCCAGTTGCCTAAAAAATAAAAATTAAAAAAATAGAAAAAAAATACTATACTGTCTCTTTATGGGGAAGTTAGCAGATTTAAAAGTTACTATATTAAAGGTTTAGAAGGGGCAAAAGCATTAGTTATATGGAACCCAGGTTTCTAGTAAACCGTGGGACGTCTGTTGCATTATACAGGAAACTTCTTAATTGATGGCGAGAATGATAGTGTGATGTTTTATGGCTATGTAGGGAGCAGAGTTAATGTAAGAGCTTTGGAGGAAAAAAATATTCATTGAAAGAATATTTCTTCATCACACATGGAACCAGACTCTTTGGGACTAACTTTAGACATGTAAAAAAAGAAGAAAGACTTGGGAAGCTGTAGACATGTAAAGGAAGTTGGCTTCCCAATATGTCTCTGGTTTCAAGCTTTCTTCCCTGGGAATCCTTGGCTGAGATTGGGGTCACTCTCTCGGTATGAGCTAAGAGATCATCTCACTTCCAGAAAATAAATCATTTTTTTCTGTTATATTTTCTGTTTTTGTATTTTTGTATACTTTTTTATATTTTCTGTTATATTCTAATTTGTATAAATTCTTCCATTTTTGATTCCCATTTGCTTAGGTTAATGGGTTTACTTGCTATTCACTATTAGTGAAGGTCTTTTGCGTAATCAGTGTTTGGTAGGAAGGTGTTGAAGTTTCAAATAATGTGCTGAGGAGGTATAAGCCTCCCCCAACCCCTTAAGATCAACCAGGAAAGATCCTTTTTTGTTTTAAAGCAAACTTATGGCTTTAAACCAGCAATACTTAGGGGAGCAAGTAGATATAATTCTACTCCTATACACTTCTCAGAAACTGGAAGAAGGAGCACCTAGCCTTGTGGCCTTTCTCCTAAAAGGCAGGAATGGCAGTGTCCCTTAGACTGGGTAAGCAAGTTCCCAGAGATATTTATCCATGCCTTTCATGAGCTACATTTAGTTAACTCATGTGGATATATACACATATAGGAATACACAGTTACATCTTGGGTTGTTGTGAAGATCAAATGAGATAATATTTATAAAATACTTACCACTGTGCTTAGCATATAGTAGTTGCTTAATTAATATTTGTTCCTTTCCCTTATATATCTAATTGGGAAAATACCTGATTCTGTGATTACTATGCCTAATTACTTTTGGATTCACTGAGGACACTGCTCCATGGATTTATTACAGTTCCATCTCCACAACTATGCAGGAGAAATGGGAGGGAAAGGGGAATAATTGTTGCATTTCAATGAAGGGATTCTCCAGAATACAGAGTTCTCATTGTCTTCAATCAGTAGACCGGCACAGGAATTCAGTGTGCAGAGGAGATAGGACATGGCTCAGTAACAGCTACTAGCTCTATCTCACATTTGAATAGTTTAATCTGGCTATGTTTACAGTGTTTAAAATACATTATAAATACAACAGTAGCAATTCACATGGGAGATGGAAGGAAGCAGTGTTCCCTATAGTCAAACAGTCCATATTATCCAAATGAGCATCTAAGAAAAATGGATAGCCTGCCTCCTTCTCCCTCTTCACATGAGAAATCCTATGAAAGACTCAATGATTCCTTTGGTTTGTCTCAGACTCTGTCTGTTTCTGTTTTTTGAAATTTTGCTCAATTCTAAATGTAGGGTAGGAATACCCTGGAGGAAACAATGAAGGACCTCCCTCTAAAGTTAATCACTAATGTTCCATCAGGATGAGGGAAGTGGGAATGGGATCTGGCTCCATACATAGATATTCTACAGTGTTTAAAAATGTAACCCTTTATAATAACATTCAGAATGTAAATTGAGAAAAAAAAAACCAATTTCTCTGTTGGGCATATAAATGGGACCTTTCTTTCAGTCTATTTACCTCCTTGGCCTACAACAAAAGATTAATAGCAGCTCTTTATGTGGTGGCCTAAACAAATAAATAAATAACCCCCACCCCTCAAAAAACCTGGAATCCAAGTAGATACTCATTCATCAATTAGTGAATGACTGAACAAATTGAGGACTATAAGGAGTGAAATATTATTGCCTCATAAGAAATAACCAATATGAGGAACTCCAGAGAACCATTTGAATGCTTGAAGTGTGAAGCGAGGCAGGGGGAAGTAAATAGAACCAGGAAATAAAGATACACGATGGTCTATGATAATGTAAATGAAAAGAACACTAAAATGAAGCCAAATACTGCGTGCATGATTGTGAGGACCAATCTTGGCACCAGAGAAGAAGTGAGGAAATGCATCTCTCTTCTTTGGAAAGGTAAAGAGCTATACAGAATGCTGCATAAGCCATCCTATGTAGAAGCTGTGTCTGTTGGTTTTAACTATTTTTTTTTACCAGGGTAAGTTCAACATATGTATAGACAGTAATGTTGGGGATATCTGGAAATGACCCTGATATAAAAACAAGTTATCAAAAATTAATTTTTAAAAAGCTATTAAAACTCTATGTGTCTTTTTAAAAGAGAATATGAACAAATCAGGAAGCCACTCCTCTATTTCTGTAGAGATGAGATAATTAGCAATATCTATCTTAAAGCGACATACAGAAGGTTCCAACTGCTGTCTATTATGAAATAACTACCCTGAAGTCTAGACAAAGCATTTCAATGGATATCAAATATAGTGGCATGCACTTTAATTTTGCCCAGACTTGGCTCTGAATTCATATAGTTTTATCTGGACTCCATTCTATTTAAATGAAGGTTAAATGGCATATATCCTAAGCTTGAGAGGCAGTGTGAGGTAGCTGATGATAAAAGGAGAAACTTGGAATAGCAGATATGGATTCAATGTGCCTGATACCAAGGTGCGGGTGGGGGGTCCTCGAGTCTTTTAACCATTTGATGCCCCAGACAACTCTCTCAGATTATAAATTGTATAATAGTTTTGAATCTTCACTGATGTAAGGAATTTCCATTCCAGGCATTCCTCACGTATGAAATCATAGATCTGATCCAAAATAGCAACAACAGTAACACAAATGCTAGGATTGGTAATGAGAAAATAAGCCAAGCCTTTCTCTCAAGAGTATAAAATATGTGCAATGCAGCTTCTAAGATGCTCATTAAGTTCCAGTAGTACATAATAAACTATTTCTTTTTTTTTTTTTTTTGCTATCTTTGTATCCCTAGTGCTAAATATAGTATCTGGCATTTAATTGGCACTTAATCAAAGCTTATACCAAATGCAAATATATTTAACATTCAACTAAAGAAAACGAGAAGTTGTGTCCTGAAAAAAAAAACAAAACAACTTTTCCTTATGGTGGGGGGACGGTTCTGAGCATGGTGACATCCAGGTTATATGCCCAACAAGATGGAGGAGTAGACATTTTCTCCAGTCCCCATGAATCCTCAAAACGAAACAAAACAAAAAACCTCCAAAAGAGGGATCTCTTGAAATTTTGAGACTCAAAGAGGTTAAATATCTTGCCCATGGTCACATAACTAATTAAGTGTGAGAGCCTTATTGTGCTGCCTCTCCTGTTGTTTATTTAATGCTTATTGTTTGTGGATTATTCAGTTCTTTTGTTTTTCCTTCTATTTTTTTTCCTCCAAGCCTCTGTCTAGTTTTTTCTTTCTCTTAGATCATTAGCAGAATTTCTAAAATTTAATTTTTTTAAATGGAAGCCAAAACTCAAGCCAATTAATTCTATTACTCTTAAGTACCTCTGCAAAAAATAATTCGGTTCTATCATAAAGGCAGTCCTTTATAAGATTAAAGACCATTCCAAAGCATAATGATTTTTAAATCCAACTTAACAGAAAACAAGACTAAATGTAGGAGATACCCAGAAAGAAAATCCCTCATGGTTCTTGTTTTCAGAAGCTCAAAAGATTGGTTCCATTGAATATTTTGTGTAATCTATGGACATCCCACCTTGTTCTCATCCACACTGTTTCCACTCCATTTCCTTAGATAATTCAGAGTGTTCTGCCTCCTAATTTCATGGCTACCTGTTAGTAGTTGTATCATTTTTCATTTTCTAAGCCACATAAATGCATTGATTCAGTGATTTGTTTGTAAAGTTTTCTATGACCACACTTTTCTTTCTGGATATTTGTAGGTGGTTGTATCTTTATTGTAATGTTAGTAGCTTTAAGTGAACTCATAGAGATAATTCTTGGTTTAAGTTATTCAAATTTTAAATTCCACATTCATTCTAGAGCTTAAAAATAGATGGATTGTATCTGTTATGTGCTCATCCTCTTCAGATTTCTAAGTACCAGGGGTAATCATGATCAAAAGGCACTTTTTTTTTCTTTTTTTTGATGTAAGGC